TTGTATATCGTTACGCCATGTTCCGGGAATCAATTCTCCATCCTCTTCATAATCAAAAGTACCAGTTGGGGTATAGATTTTTCTTGATGTTGTGCTTCTCCGTAGAAAATTATGAAGTAAACAGCATGTCATGCATATTAAAGCAGCTTTATCTGGTTGTAGTAACATAGGTGATCTGAACACTCGAAAAACTGATGCATAAATACCAAAAACGTTTTCTACAACTCTACGTGCACGACACAAACGATARTTGAAAATTCGTTCTAAACTACCTTTTTGATGATTTCCTCCGTAAGGTTTTAGAAGAGTATTACTCATGGGAAATGCATCGTCGCCTATAAAAACATATGGAACCTTCTTTAGTCGTCCTAATAAGGGCTCAGGTRGTGGAAGGAGAAGTTCATTACGAATTATTTTGCGATAAACACTCGTGGTAGCATACACACCCGCATCGTTCATTCTTCCTTGCGCACCAACATCAACAAATGTAAAACAATATTCTGAGTTAACAAATGCCATGAGTATAATGCTGAATGACTTCTTGTAGTTGAAGAACTCAGATTCACTGTTAAATGGAGCTTGCAATAGTACATGTTTTCCATCAAYTGCTCMTACACAATGTGGAAAATTCCAATCACGTTGAAACCCATTTGCTATTGTTTTCCAATCTTCCTGTGATTTTGGCAGCTGTAAAATACAAATATTTATACTTCACATAAAATGGAACCTATTATTAAATTATAGAAGTTTTTAGTTTTAGAAGGATGAAATTAAAAATCTGTAACAATTTTTGTACTAAATAGCATAGAATTTTCAAATTTTCAAATAAAAATGTTATTTTTAGGATGTTGCTGATGGAAATATTTATGAAACAGAGGATCCCATGCAAAACGAAGGAGATTTAGATCATATTAATGTTGAAGAAGATGGCTTAGAAGCTTCTTCACTTGGAGACAATGGAATTCAAAATGTAAGGAGAGAAAATACTCAAGAAAACAGGAATATGTTCTCAGTTCCACAAAGTCCATTAATGAAGAGAAAACAAAGAAGTGTTGATAATAGCCAATTTGTAAGCAAACACTTGAAACAAGCAAGTGATGTTTTGCAGAGTTTGGTTAAGAAGCCAAATTCACAGCAAAATAAAGATGGCCCTGACTTATATGCACAGCTATTAGCCKAGAAACTTCGTCAACTATCTCCCCGGAATCGTCTACTACTGGAACATAAAATTGATAACATGGTTTTTGAAGCACTAATCCAGGAAATGGATTCAAAAACACAAGGTCATTTTCCCAGAACTATTAATACTGTTTCATCTCCCTGTTCATCGCTGGAAAGTTATATTTCTCCTGGATCGACATATTCAACACATGAATTTTCTCATTCGCCTTCTCCGTATGAACAGTCTCCTGGAACATCCTACACACCACATCTCACTGCTAGTCATGTGTACATACAACCATCCCAATCACAACAACAAAACGTAACTGCCCCACAAACACAATCAGGTACTGTTCTTGAATTTTATTCAAATTCTGAACAATTTGTAGATGGTAACCAGACAGGAGAAAAATATAATAAATAAATATGTATTTCCTGTGCACAATATTGTAATGTAAAATGCATTAAATAAATTATAAATACATAAAAAYAGATTAATGTGTTAAATTTATTTATTAATATCATAATATTAATTTAATTAGGTACTTACTTTTATTTCATCTTTTAGTGCATCAATAATAGCTAGGCAAACTTYCGGTACGATGCGGCTTATTGATTGATGTGATATCTTAAATAGGTATTCCAAGCTTACAAAGCTATCACCTGTAGCCAGAAATCGGAGAGTGACTGCCAAACGCTCTTGGATCGGTATTGCCTTCCGCATGTTAGTGTCTTGTTTGCTGATTTTCGGTCCAATTTTAGTAAGAATAAATTCAAAATCTTCTGACGACATTCGACAGAAGTTTTGGAATTTCCCCGATGGTTCTGCCCGTAGAGCCAACAGCATATCTGAGGCATTATATCTAGTAAATTTAATTTATACGATTTCATAACTAACACTGCATAAAATAGATAGAAATATCAATTTTA